GGCCATCAATGACTGTCACGAGCATTCGTAATAACTCTGTGCTAATGCATCATAATGGAGCATAGTATGAATCATGCGAAAAAGGATCTCGTTCGGTCCGTTATTGAAATATGCTCAAGAAAGTGCTCGAGGCTCTTCGATCCAAACGATATCGATTTTAATGTCCTCGTTATTCTTCGTCCCTCATCATCTCTCGGCCATGTTCTTTTTTCTTTTTCTTTCTTTTTGTTTTTTGTTTTTTTTTTTCCTTTTTTATCTTTTTCTTTCTCTTATTCCCTCTTAAAACGAATCCAAAATAATTCCAAGGTGAGCGAAAAGCAAACGATTTATAAAAAAAAAGAACTCTTTCTTTTTTCTTTTTTTTTTCTTTTTTTTTCTTTTTTAAACTACTGCACGCTTTTTCTTTACAATCGAACTTTTTCATAGAAATTTTTCTAAAAATTGTTAACTTAACGGTCGGATCCTTTTTTATTTTTCTCTTCTTCTTCTTCTTCTAAGAGAGAGAGAGAGAGAGAGAGACACAGAGAGAGAGAGAGAGAGAGAGAGAGAGAGAGAAAGAGAGAGAGAAAGAGAGAGAAAGTGTTACAATTTTTGTTCTCGTCGTTACGATCGAAAGAAATCTCAAATTGCAACGTCAATCGAGTTAAAGGAAAGATCGGATTAAAGCTTGAAATTTACTGTAATTTCATTCCTCCCCCTCAATTCTCTCTCTCTCTCTCTCTCTCCTGTCTGTTCTTCTCCATATGTTCGTGATCCGTAAATCTTTTTCCCAGAGCGTTTAACTCTTCTGACCCTTTCAAGAGATTTCCAAGCTGAAGAATTACACCCTTTCCTTTTCTCTCGCTCTCTTTCTCTCTTTCTCACCTTCCCTCTCAAAGAAGGTTTTATACTCGACTCTTACTTTTTTTTTTTTTTTTTTTAACCATGAAAAGAAAGAAGACGATTGTCGATTTGAACTAAAAAGAAAAAAAAAAGGAAGAAAGAAAGAAAGATAAAGAAAAAGAAAAATAAAAATAACAAAAGTAAAAAATAAAGAAATTGTAATTTTTCTAAGGAACAAAATGATGAACGTTTTGCGAGCTCGTAAAAAAAATAATGAAAGCTGGTCCAAGAGAGAGAGAGAGAGAAAAAGAAAGACAGAGAGAGAGAGAGAGAGAGAGAGAGAGAGAAAGAGAGAGAGAGAGAGAAAGGATGATGTTTAAAACGAGTCAGTTTACGCGTTTATGCTCTTTGGCGTATGCGTTCTTATAGGCGAGTCGCATAAACTTAACGGTAAAGCCAAGACTGATTTTCCGGTGCCATAAAATGTGCGCGCGGGCGCTGTAACATACAGCAATTAACGATCGTAAGCCCGGTCGCACGAATTTGATTTAGAGCTTGGAAAAAGAGTTAGTATAGAAAGGAACATACATACGTATAAGAGATAAATAGTATTAAGCGTAGAGAATTAAGATTATCTGCGAATTATCATAGGTCAGACCAACTGACGTACGTTATATTTTATTTATTATTTTACAGATTAACACATTTACTTCAACGTAAATTAACAGTAGCGAACGTTTTAAACCGTTACAATGCACTAGTTGCATCTATCTATCTTTATTTTGTCGATATTTCCCGTTATACATCCGAACACGTCATTATGATATAAATATATAGTCAAGATTAGATAATTATTTATCGATTTATTATTAAATCAGAAGATTGATCATAAAGATCTATAAATTTAATTATAATATAATGGAATTTCTTTACTTATATATATATATATATATATTTTCTTTTTTTATATAAAAAATTTATATCGCTCTAAATTTCATCGCAATTCTTTTATGACCCTAACTCTAATCTTTATTTATTATCTAAAATGATATAATTAAAAAGTAAAATAGAATGTGATAATCAAACTGATTCATTGAATTATTATTATTCTTATTATTATTCTTCTTATTATTATTATTATTATTTTTTATTTTTATTATTACACTCTTGGAAAAATTGTAATGTTATATCGATCGTATGATAGGTGCAATTTTCAAATAGTTTAAAACTCACCCGAACGAATCGTAACCAAGAATAGGCTGCGATTGTTGGGTGAGTAAAGAGGAAGAAGGGAAAAGGGTGGGGGATGATGGAGGAAAACGAACGAAGAAACGAACGAACAGAGCATAAATGGCGTACGTACGCGCTCGTTACGTCGTCTAAAAATATCCCAAAGGAATATTCCTGGTGGTTTCTTTCGACGATTTTCTTTGCCCGTGGTTTTACTTCTACAACATGACTTACGTCCATACATATCCCACGTATGCCGGTTTCAAAGTAAGGAGAAATAAGGGTGAACCTTAAATTAGACTCTTTGGTAACTAACTCAAATTTCATTTTGCGAGACCAAAAATCTTTGTATGAGATATTGCGACGAAAGGAAAAATTACGACGAGTATCAATTTTTATTTTATCTCGGCAAACATTTTCCCATACAAATATACGTTGGATAAGTAATTTACAAATCAATTATTACTTTTTGAAATGTTTTAGGCTAATTTTTCTTTTTTTTTCTTTTTTTTTTTTTTTTTAGAAACAATATAAATCTCTCGAAAAGTAATAAGTATTAGTCGACACCCCATCATCTGTATATACCCCCTCTCCCCCTATCCATCCCTTCACTTTTATTAAATATTCGATAAAACGTTCGCAATTTTTTAATTCGATTTAATTTCTTTTTCCATTTTTCTTTATCTCTTTTTGTCTTTTTTTGTTTTCTTATGGAATTCGTACGCGTACCCATATGTATATTATGGAAGTGAAAATGTTTTTCGACGATCATTCGACGGTCAACTCTGGGAAGGAAGAACGACGAGGATGATTTCTACGGTGGTGGCTTCGGCGGTCATCGTTAAAACGCGGCTGCAGTATTCAGGTTTTACGGTCCACGTTTCAGTCTGGCTGCAGTAGTAAAAGGAAATGCACCGTTGCAAGTCGCGGCCGTTATACATCCTTCTTCGTTTCGAAACGATCGACTCATAACATACGTCAAATGTAATTTTTGGTTAGGTTTGGCCCTTTGCTCTTTACCCATAACTTCAACTCCTTCTCTCCAATCCCAACCACCATCTAAATACCCTTTCTTTTTCCCCACCCCCCATCGTCCTTAATCACGTCTTTTTATCGAGTCCCTCAAATACACTCTTTCCTTACCGGACATTCGTTACGTATTATAGAGTTATGACAATTTATCATTCTGCAAAGGATTATTTATAATTTTTTGAATGAAATAAATAATATACCTTGTAGGATATCCTATCGTCGTTTTCAGGAGACGAAATGTCACCTTCCTCACCGGAAACTGTTTCGGCTCCTGTTTCCACAGATTGATAATCCGCTTCGCTGTTCCAGGAGTGTCGCCTCTTCAAGTCTCCTGTAAAATAATATCGAAATAATGTGAAGTCAATATCGATTTACCATTGACGTTTTCGTTTATATTATTATATATTAAGAAAAAAAAAAAAAAAAAAGAAAGAAGAAAAGATTGAATAAATAAAATAAATAAAGAATAAAAAAAAGAAAGAAACAAAATGAATAAAAATGACGATAATCGAATTACTCGATACGATCATTTTGACACGATAATAGTCCGAATCATTTATCGAGTATCGATGAGTATGAAAACTCATAAAAATGTCTCGATTATCTGTGTATTATAATTACATTACGAGTGTTTCGGTCTAAATCTATACGTTCGAAACATGTACACGTGGCAGAACGTGATGACGTTAATTAATACGAGCGGACTCAATCGAGTCAAGTTTAATTAGAATCATCAGTATCGTTCATAGATCCTGGCAGCTGTTTAACGTCTTACACATTGATCGAAGCGTGGCTAACAAAACTCGTCGCTACTGCTTTTTATCTTTACGTTTCTTGCCTCTTTCACTCACTCTCTCTCTCTTTCTCTCTCTCTCTCTCTCTCTCTCTCTCTCTTTATCTATCTCTCACATAAGTTTGTCTTTCTTCAACATAAACCGTATAATTCTACAACGTACTGATCTCCTCTTACGGAGACAGGATTTCCTGTGCAATACATATCACGATCCGGATAGAATCTCATCCCGATCTTCATTGGACGGTTATTAATTTCGATCTGGTAGCACGGAGTAACTCGTTTGTGAAAGAAAAAAAAGAAAAAAAAAAAAAACGAAAAAAACAGAAAAGAAATTAAGAAAAAAATAATAATAACAACAACGACAACAACGACAACGACAAAAAAGGAAATAATAAATAAAGAAATGATGTCAAAAGAGATAGATGATCGATGATGATGCCGTATCGTCGGTCAAAGATACACAGAGATGTTGTATAAGGGAAAATATCGGTCCTTTGATCTATTGATAGATAGACACATACGGATAAGATTAATAGGTTCATATACAGTTATTGAGTTCATTATTCCAATCTATTAAAGTATCTAAAAGATGTAATATAAAGTATTATTCATTTCGATAGTTCGATTTATATATATATATATAGATATATATTACATTTGTCATATGATTTTTATGATTTTCAATCTCGATTTTAAATTACGAGAGAGGAGAGTTATTCGCCCGCCCGTCTCTCTTCTCACCCCTTCCTCCTCCTCCTCCTCCTTCTCCTTCTCCTCCTCCTTCTCCTTCTCCTTCTCCTTCTTCACCTTCTCAAAACAAAACAAAACAAAAAAAAAGAAAAGAAATAAAAAATGAAAGATGAGGATCATCGAAATCCGATTGGATCGTATATTTGTAGTATCATTATATACAACAATATCGATATTAAATGAAGATAACTTAATAAATGTAACAATCTGGCATATAAACGTTAAGATTTATAAATGAGGAAGAAGTAAAGGCTGCTATCATATCCAACAAGCAAATTCGTCAAAGTCGACAAAATAATGGCCAATTACTTTATCCCTCGGCCCAAGTACCGATCCGTTGGCATCCCAAGGGATAATATTGGCTCAGTACAGAAGAAAAAAGAGAGAGAGAAAGAGAGAAAGAGAGAGAGAGAGAGAGAGAGAGAGAGAAACAGACAGAGAATGAGTAAGGGGTTGTGGTGGGGGTGGGGGTGGGTTGTGGAGAAGAGAAAGAAAGGGCGTGAGTGTTGGCGAAATATTTAAGATACGCGGTGTTCATCGCAGCCAAACGCAAAGGATAATGGACGAAGATGGGCTCGCAGGTTAAACACAGTATTCGAGTTCGTGACTTATGGGATTTGATCGTGTATTGGAGGCAACCATTCTACCTACAAATTTACTCGTTTACTCGCTTCATGGAATGCCCGTAGGGGCATCTTACGGGAAAGTAAAACGAACAAGAGAAAAGGAAAGAAAAAGAGAGAGAGAGAGAGAGGGGAAAAAAAAGAGGAAAGTAACGACGACACGAGGACTTTTAAAAGACGAGAAAATTTATCAATTTTTGATGACTTCTTTTGAAATGATCGTTCAATTATAAACAGAATGTATATATATATATCGAAAAGAAAAAAGTCTGAAGGAAATTTTAATTATTATTGAAACTTTTTCACTCGTAAATTTTGCGACGTCATTGATTCTCCCCCCCCTCTCTTTCTTTCTTTTCTTTTCTTTTCTTTTTTATTTTTTATTTGTCTTTTTTTTTGTTTTTTTCGTAGATCGAAAATTGCGATAGAAGCGTTGCGTTAAAATTTGCAAAAGGATTGTCGATATACGTTGGGTTTCGTAATGGGATTATGATAAATTTTCAAAAATGAGATATTCTTTTAAAAAAAGAAAAACAAAAAATTTCAAGAACTTCCGTGTTAGGGTTAGACGTTTCTCTTGTATTTCGCGCTACCATAAAACATAATCGACGCCAATTTGACACAGGTTCCGTAGAAGAATTACGAGCATACCGAGTTCGAACTTCCTGTCGTTTGGTTGGGCGCTAAAGGGAGATCATACTAAGTGCACAGTGTACATATGTATGCGAGAGACAGCAGTGGGTATAACGCTTTGCACGCACGTGCAAACCTTCCACGTGCTACCGTAAGATCACCATGATCCTCAACTACTTTCCTCTTATGGTAAATATCAAGAACTATTTGTGGAAGAGGAGTCATTGAACAAAAACATGAAGGATGGTGATAGCTAAAATCTGATTAGATCGTAACTTTTTTTTTTAATTCGCAGTAGTTGTTTTATCCTTTTTTTTTGTTTCTACAAGACGACTATATATATATATATATATATATTTTGTTTTTTGCGAATTGATTTTTTGTTTTTTGCGTTTTTTGCGTATTTGGTAGAATTTTTTTTTGTTTTTTGTTTTTTTCTTTTGATTGAAAGAAAAGGAAGATCAAAACGATCAAATTTTTTAACGCTCGAGATAATAGAATCTATTTTATTCGCGAAACGTGTTTTCTGATCGTTCAAACGAGACGTTAGAGATCTCGCGAGTATCGACGATTTCCTTACGCGTTTCACTGGCAAACATCTAAATCAACGTTTCACGTAAAAAGAAGGTTACCTGGGGAATGGCGCTTCTAGTTCTTTCGTCCGATGATCAATGATCTTGTTGAACGTACGAGCATCTCTTGGAAACTCATTAACATTTAACGGATAATCACCGTTACCACTTGATTAATGACTTATGGACATATGACAGTTGGTTGTCCCTTTGGAGTTAACGAGTAGAAAGACACGTTTCTCTTATCTGGTAGCGTTCACGTTGCATCGAATATTTTCATTTGGTTTATATCATTCATTAAAGCACGATGAAACACACTTTTATAATATACACGCTTGCACATACACATCGGCACGTTTGACAAATAAAATCTTGATTGTTTGTTTATTTATTTATTTATGTGATTTCGTATTCTCGCTCGTTTATACGGAACATTTTTTCGCGACAATTTACTTCGTCATTATGTTTCTTTTTATTTTTTTACTTTATTTTATTTATTTATTTATGTTTGGTTTTTATTTTTTTTTCTTTTTTTTTTTTTTATCTTAAGGAAACATTCAATCAATTAAATGAGATCCATCCGACACATGTACTTCGCGCGAAACGATTTCGTATTTGGGGAAAGTATCGACGCGGAATTGTTGTTATTGTTGTTGTTGTTGTTTCTTTGTATTTTTTTTCCTTTTTTATTTTATTGCCGTCAATTTCGCAAAACGAATCGAAGATTAATTCATAAGCTTCGCCGAGATTATGTGAGATGATACAAGTGTACTACTACGGCTTATCTCACAGGTGCAGCTCTCTGACTAGACTAAAGGCGGGAGCATGCTCGTTCGCAGCAAGTACTCTAGGAGAGACGAACGAATAAGAGTAAGAAAGATGAGAAGAGAAAGAGAAGAGAGGCTGGATCCTTCGCGTTGCTTCGATTGGTCCATGCTTCCCGCGAAAACGACCCGGCCAATCGTAATAACTGTGCCTCCTAACTCTTGGGTATCGAGAGACGTGTACCTACACGAAGAAGAAGAAGAAGAAGAAGAAGAAGAAGAAGAAGAAGAAGAAGAAGAAGAAGAAGAAGAAGAAGAAGAAAAGAAGAAGAAGAATAAGAGGAGAGGAAGAAGGGCTGACCACGAGATCGTACTTTCCAAGACCGATCTTTCTCCCTTTTCCACCATTATCCGTTCGTGTCAAAGGTCGACCCGTAATTTATCTGCCAATCCCTTACGCAATAACTCGGAGATATTTTATATAACAATAATATCCACGACACGATGTAAGAGAAGTATCTCTTATCACTTTTTTTTTCTTTTATATATATATATATATATATATATATATATATATATATATTATTTGAATCTGGGTTAACAATAGTAAGAACGATTTTTATTTTTCTAACAAACAATCCTTTTCTTTCAATTCCTTTTCTTTTTTTTTTCTATCTTAATAAAGTTACAAAATTGCATATATGTCAGAGCGTTTAAATATTTTCGAATGATGAATAATTAATTGATAAATAAAATAATAAGTCATAACTCGGTAGAGAGAGAGAGAGAGAGAGAGAGAGAGAGAGAGAGAGAGAAAGAGAGAGAGAGAGAGAGAGAGAAAGAGAGAAAGAGAGAAAGAGAGAGAGAGAGAGAGAGAGAGAGAGAGAGAAAGAGAGAGAGAGAGAGAAAGAGAGAGAAAGAGAGAGAGAGAGAGCATCAGAAGAGAGAATTGCACATGTTGCTCGAATGGTTCGTGAGAGTGGCGATGGGTAAGAAGGGCTGTGGCGGGTAGTGAGGGTGGGAGAGAAAGGGAATAAGGTGGAGGAGGGCCTTGCGACCTCTGACACTCCTGGGAACCACGAAGGCCCCGAGGGCTTCTCCGAGAAAGAAGCTCGGGAATCCGGCGGGCCCACCCGTCCGAAATACTTCAATGATGGTCTGCCCGTTGGTGTAACCGGCAGGCTCTCTCTCTC